GTTATCTCGACCTTCGCTTTCCCTTACCACTTCATCAGGAATACTACGAGGTCTCTTGGCTGCAGGACCATTGTTTTCTCCGTTTGGGGTGTTATAATCCCTTGTAGCCATGGGTTGAGCTCGGGTGGTCTCGTTCACTTCTGGTCTGACAGTAGCAGAAGCTCTACGCTTGAACAAAGGCGGTAAAATGATGGATGGGCCTTTCAAGGATTCCACCTCATTTCGTGGATGTGGAGTAGAGGTTTCATTCGCAAAAGAAGGCGTGGATGGCGTTTTCAAGGTTTCCATCTCACTACCTGGATGTGGAGTAGGTGTTTCATTAGCAGTCTTTGCCTTTTTCCCCTCGGTCCAGAACTCTGCTATTCCAAGTAAACTTCCAGTTTTACCAGGCACCTTTGTGTTGGTCTTAGATAAGGTACCAGTTTCAACCCGATCAATGCGTAGAAATTTCGCCTCCGCATCTGCCATCATTTTTCTTTCTTCAACAAGCTGCAAATGATCCAAAAAGTTTTAGTACAAGATCAATATATACCAAACAGCAGGAATGTCACATGTATATTCTAAAAGAAAATCCTCAGAACATCATAAGACCACCCAAATAACAAAAGCTGGAAACTTTTGAGCAAAAAGATGACGTTCGGATAGTAAATTGAAGCGAAAAACATCATACGACGATTCGAATGAGAAAATCTCAATGATTATGTTGAAACTGAACTCCAAATCTTTAGGAACAGTGAATCAACCAAACTGAAGCACAACCTACAATAAGCCGCATCGAGTCTGAAACTAGAGATAGAGATTGAATGATACAAAAAACAATATGATCAAAAGTTTCACTTTTGAACTCAAAGTAGACATGTGAATACTACAGAGGGAATTGAAAACAGAAAAGCTGCACAATTTGCATAGAATTGAACACACTCCAATTGAAACAAGAAAAGCAAATCAAAACGGATAAACGCTAGTAAACAAGTACACACGTCGCCAATTAGCCACACAAAGCAAAAGAAAGAAGTGAAGAAAGAAGAAGAGACCTTTCTCTCGAAGGTTGTAATCTGATCTTTAAGGCGTTTAATTGAATTGGCACGCTGGTCCATGAACTCTAAAAGAGCTTCTCTATCATCAGGGATTTGAGTATTTGCTTTTGCTGCTTCTTCTTCGCCTTGTTCGATTTTCGGTTTCTTCATCGCCGTCATCGTCGCCATTGCAGTCCCTCCGTCTTCCCCCTCCTCCCAATTTTCCCGCCCGATCGTGGGGGAAGTGGGGATTGATTCTCCCTCTAGTCGTTTCAATTTCGCAATCACTTTTTTTGCGGTTTTTGCCACTTACTTCACTTACTAGGGCTTTATGTAGTCGAACGGAGGAGCTTAGACGGTTTAGATTCGGCTAAATCTTTAATACGAGTCCTATTTTTGGAATTTAAACCGTCAATTTTGTCACACAAAAGCTTTAATTTCGTCAGTAATGAAATATATATCTATCCTATAGTTTTCATTCGAGTTTAGAAGTCTCTGACGGACGTTAAACACAGTGATAATTCCGTCAAATAAACTTATAAATCACAGGGAAACACCAAATCAAGAACAGAGAAAATTTGGAGAAAAATATGAGAAGCATAAAACTAAAGTATTTTGGAAATTTGAAGTTGTGATTGTTGCTTACATACTGAACATAAAGGAGATTAAAGTCTATGTTCTAAGAAATTGTAAAACATTGATCTTATGAGCATACAACAACATTAACTTCTATGAAAATCATTGGCTTCAAAAGAGTGAAAGCAGTCTGGTCCAGAAAATCAGAAAATGTACATAGTAACAATGGAAGTCAGAAAAGATGTCAAGAGTATGGAGACAAAGTTCACACCATTGTTGTCAAGAATGTCCACACCTGAAATCTTCTTAACCGTCGGTCCAGGTTTCCCTACAACCTGCACGCATAATTCGGTCAACACTCATCTCCCTCGATCCACATAGTTACATGTGTTTTTTCAAAACTTACCTTGTTCCGGACAGAACAGAAACCACTGAATTGGATGGTTGCTCCTAGTACAGAATCAATAAGACTCCCACATAATCCAGCTAATGCAGAGACTGGAATGACTAAGAGTTGCTTGAGAGCTACATCACTTGCACATCTTGCAGTAAAGAGTCCAAACATAACGAATGTCAGTCCAACCGTGGCGCCGGCTGCTAACGCAGCTAAGAGTCCTGCCTTTGTAACTCCACCATTTGTGCCCTTCTTCACCGGCTGAGATTGAGAGACCAAACGTTTAGCTAAACAGGAGATATTAATTAGCCACTTGCAAAAGAAAGGAACAAGAACCTTTAGCGTTGTGATTAGTCGAGGCTGGGAATCACTAAGAACCCCAAGCTCTGAGGACCAAGTGTCTCCATTACAGCAAGCGTAATGACCGATGATCCCACCGATAAGAGCTGTTACAATTCGGGACTCTTTCGAGTCCAAACACTTGTCCTGCCAACCCGTTAAAGTAGAAGCAAATACAACTAGAACTGATGCAATTCCACTATTGCACAGCACTTGTATCCTGAAACAAGAGATTTGAGGAATACACTGTCAAATAATAAGAACTTCTGAAAGTGAAATCATCATTTGCTAATATGCCAATGGAAAATTAGTAAACAGTTATTGGTTAACCAAAAAAAAGAAAACAATCTCTTCACTGAAGCTATAACTATCATCATCAACATTACTTAATCAATTAAATCATAACTATCGATCCAACTTGTCCTATTGAACCACATATACCCACCAAGAAGTAAGACTACGATGCTACTGAGAAAAATTTACCAGTTTCTTTGTCCACCTTCTTTGAAATCAGCATCAACGCGTCGTTTTTTCTCTTCACCAACCTTAGTAAGCTTCGATGAAGTAAAAAAGAATACGAGAAGTAGAGCTCCGAACCTTTTTCAGATTTTACAGATTAAAAACCCGTCGGAAAAAAAGACAATAGAAAACACTTTCTCAATGAACAAACAAAGTGAATGTAATGCCATAACCAAAAGAATCGGGAGAGGAACCTGAAACCGGCGGTTAAATGGATGGTCATAACGAGAAATCCAGCAAGTCCGCCGGAGAGATCGAGCGACTTCCGTTTGTACGATCGGAATGCGATGAGAGAAGAAATAATTACGGCGATGATAAGACGGAGCTGCGGCGACGTTTCCATTTCTCCGGTGGCGGAGAAATCTGTTGATGAGAAGGAAGCTCTCGAAGATTCACAGTCGGGAAAGAGCAGTTGACCCAAACTATTCATCACTCACACTCATCACTGTTTCATCAATCTCAAGTGGTGGGCCTTTAATGGGCTGACTCATCATCCGATACAAACCCACAACTTTTAGTGTAGAAACATTTAGACCACCAGAACAATGGACTTCCGTAAATTACAATATTGTCTTGAACGGTTGAATAAAATAATTTTGTGACTTCTTTAATTTTTTCTTTGATTTCGAAGAGTTGCGTCGTTAACAACATGTTCTAACGGTAAACTGTGTGCTTCTTTGTTCTTATCAATTTCATGATCATTTTTTTTTGCTCAAACCTGTTTTTTTTCTTCTTTTCCGGGTAAAATACTTAAAATCTACTAAACCCGATCATGTCGTAAGTAAGATAAGGCGGAACATATCTTCCAACGTGGCGGGAGAGAATCCAATTGGGCAATCGAGATATGGGCCCCACTATCGATTTCTATTTCTGACGTGGCACCATCCAAATCACACGATAACCATATTACTGTACT